CGACAGCAAAATTCAAACACAAAATCTTTTATGAGAATGTAATCCGTCGTTATAAATTGAACCAACTTATATTGGCTTGAATTTCAAATATTCATAAAGTAGCCAAGTGTTATATCTTGAACAAGTACTTTATTCGGTTCTCATTTTAAAATTCAGTTTCTTTTGGAAGGAGATAGCGATGCACAAAGCAATTCTCTTTTTCTTTCTTTCTTTCTTTTGCTTTTGAAAGGTTGCTTACACTTCTCAAAAGAGCTGCATGTTATTTTCGTGTTGATGGTTATTATAGGGCTCTGTGCAGTTTTACTCAGGAACCATACCTTCATTGTTTGCTGCAATTTCCCTTTCGTTCTCCCATCTTTCAAGGGATAAGCACCAATCGAGCTGAAAGAAGACAATGAACCCCCCTCCCCCCCCCTCTTCCCCCAAAGTTATTGAAGGGGGAATACAAAAAGGCAATAAAACTTGAACCTTGTGAGACCATGGATTAAATTTGTAGATTTCTCAATGTAATATACACGAAAAAGCTTCTTACGTATGAAAGTTGAAGCATCGAAACTGTGTTAATGGACTAAGAGATAATGATTACATTAGTTAAATCTTTATCTAAATTTGTTGGTTATCAGGTCAAGCTATTGTTTGACCAGTCTTCGCATATAGCAACGACCGTCATAATATTGGAATGGAACAAAGAAAAAATGGCACGGTCACAGGTAGTCCGTAGCAGTAGTAGTATCAAGTATCAAGAAACTCACTTGATGACCAGCAGGTCGTTGGAAAAGGGCAAAGCAAACAACGTAAATTTACCACCAGAACATGATAAAACGGCTACTTCATAGGTAAAGTAACGAAAGAAGAATGAAAAAGTCGAGCCCACCAATAATTTCTTGGCAAATTTGGAATCGGCATGATTATATTCTTTGCCCTTTAAACAAGCAAGCATCTTTTTCCTCCCTCGTTGCTCACCTGTGAAACTATAGCCCAACTGCGGAATAAACACGATCACTTGCTTTAGGAGTAATGTGCTGGTCTTCCTCCTAATACGACATCAGTACAGTGCAAATCATGTTGAGAACCTAATCATCAAACGTATTCCGCACGATCACTTGCTTTACAATATTGATTTGGACCCTACTTACAACGGCACCAAGCTCATGAACCCCCAATTGAACATATATTAGATTAGATGAAATTCAGATCAAGTAAGAGTATGTTTTTTTATACATTGTGAGCGTATAATTTTTCTTTTTTTAATAATAATAAGTTTAGATCATTGTTACGTAACATAAATTCAAATCACGTACATATGACGTATATGCATGATTGTTAGTGTGAAAAAAAAATCAATTCAAAAGTTAATCATTAAATAAATACATGACCAAGTCATCCTGTCTCAACTCAGCTCTTGAAATGCTTGACTCAAGAGAAAAGACCAGTTCAATTAAAGTTTTTTTTTGGAAATTTTTTTATAGAGAAATTTAGTTGAAACACTTTTTTTTTAATAAAAAATTGAGGTATAAGTATGTTAGATAAGAAAAAAAAAAGTGGTTGTAAAACATATTTTTAAAAAAATGAGGATTAATTAACACCTTTAGTACACGCCATACATTTATATAAGTAAAGTTAAAATAAGTGACATATGTACATAGTTAGCTGTCATTATATATGAAATTAATTCAAAAAAATATTATTATTATTTAAAATCCAAAAAGAGGAAGTTTTGCTACAACACTCATGAGAATGTATTAGATACATACCATGTAACAAAAATATGCGGTATCTCAACGTTTAGTAAGGATCTCAATAAAATTATTAAGTAAGGATCTCAGTAAATTTGAGTTCAAAGGAGTTGAGGATCACCACGTTAATAGCTCATGAGAAGATGCATTAAACACATTTTTCGCGCAACGGATCTTCTGTCCCACACTCTGTGTCACTCTCTGTCCCACTTTTTATTATATTGTTATTTCTCCTACATAAACATCATATTTTAGTTCTTTTTTGTTTCCTTAAGATCTAATAACTATTAATTCAGTAAAAAATAAATACAACAGCTTCAAAAAAGTAATATATAATAGAAAATTAAAAAATACAGTAAAAAATTTAAAAAAAATCTCATTTTTTATGCATTTTGATTTTTTGAGTTTGATAAATTTTGTGTATTACTGAATTAATAGTTATTGGATTTTAAGAAAACAAAAAAGAACTAAAACATGATGTTTATATAGGAGAAATAACAATTGTTTGGATACAAAACTTATCCCAAATAATATTTCGCTTGCAGCATAAACACATTTTTCAACTCACCTTTTTATATTCCCAACCACCTTTTTATCTCACATACATCACATCACAAAAAGTGCTACAGTAATTATTCCAACTAATATTTCAAATAATACCCTATCCAAACAAACATATATAGTAAAAAGTGGCACAGAGTGTGAGACAGAAGATCCGTTGCGCATTTTTCGTGAAATGCGAAGGAAAACATGCGAGTGAGGTGCGCAATTCGTTTTATCACTTAGCCATATAATGATAAATCATAGTTCTAATCATGCTATTAGGAAAAGGTTTAATCAGACCGACAAGAAGATTCATTCTCATAACTCATCTCTCTGTATCCTCCCCCCCCAACCTTCCTTTTTCTCCTCCTCTTGTCTTTTCCCTTCTTCACAGTCCCCGACCTTGCATGTACTAAAAACAAATGAAAAATGTCAGCTACGATTTGCAAAATATGGAAAAATACCGTTTCAGGACGGCTTTCGCAAGGCATAGACATCATCATCATCAGCAAACCTGGTGCAATGCATCTCATTTCTCCAGCCCACAACAACAAAAAAAGGATACTACAAAGAAAACTCTGAGAAAGAGAGATGCCAAGTGCCTCTTTTCCTTTTCCTTCCTTCTTCTAAGGGGTCAGACATCACAAATTATTGTCCGTTCTCTTCTTTTAAGCCACCAAAAGATAAAGCTTAAGCACCCAACACTACTGCAATTTGGACCTTTTCATCTTTCGTTATTCTTGCCATGTATCCCTCTCGATCGTTTGAGATGTTCAATGGATGCTCATACCATTCCAATTATCAGGCTGCTTTTGGTTATCAATAATGTGCTGGTATAGAATTGGCTTTTTTTTACTAGTATTCTCAAATCTTGGATTGCTTGTCGGTTTCTTGCCTGCAAATATTGAATATGAACTTAGCGCCATTTGAATGAATTAGTAAATTATCACCGATTAATAATATGATATCTCGTCTTATCATCAAATCCAACCTTTTCCTGATATGATATATAGCTAATTTGCTTGACAAGACCAATAAGTTTCCAACAACAAATTATGTACTAGTTGAAAGTGAAGGTGCGTGAAAAGAGAAAATAAGACAAGGTTGAAAGCTAAACTCATTAGAAAATGATGCATACCAACCAAAGCCGGCGTCTCGTAAGAGTTCTATTTGCCTGTCTCACAAAGAACCTTTACAACTTATATGGGCATATGTCCGTTTTTACGCATAAAACGTGCTTATTTGGGAATTCTAAACTTCAATCCTTACATAAGCGGGATTTAGATGCAGGTGCATAAGCCATTAATGGCCCAAACCGTGGTGTTGGGTCTAAGGTTGCCTAATTTGTGTCGTTAAATACTAAATTTCAAATTTTTTTTCCGAAAATAAATTTAAATGTAATGTATTTATTTAAGCTATATCAATTACAACCTGATTTGAGTTGCTAATTGATATAGTATGAAATTATAGAGGCTCCAAACTCCTAGAAAGGTGTGTCATAAGTGCGTTTTGGTTGAAGAATATTTGTAGGTACCTGTTATTTGCGCTCCACTCTTTGTTATTCATACTCTCACTATCATTTTAATCATAATATTTTTATTTATTAAACTATATGATAAAATAAATAATTGAATTACAAATAACAAAACATAGATTGTAAATAATACTTTTTTATTTGTATTTTAACTATTTTTTTGTGATTATAATATATGTGAAATAGGAAGATGATTGAAATATAAAAAAAAATGGTGAAAAAGAGAGTGCCCTGAATTTTTTTTTTTTCTCAATATGCTAGTGTGTATCCAAACACACTAAAGTTAATGTGATTATGTTAAAATGTGCGCGACACTTTGTCTGTTTACCTTTTTTTATAAGAGCAAATTATTTGGAAAGTCACTAAACTTTTTGGATGATAGAAGAGTTTTGACTACTCAATTTTCAAAAGTATGTATTTACCTACTAAACTATTATAAATGTAAATTTTGGCCATTTCATCTGTTTTTACTATTAAGTCTAACAAATCTAAAAGTCGCATAAGTCATCAGACATAACCAAATTTGGCAAATATAATGAAGAAAATCGATTGAATGGTTCAAAATTTACATTTTTTATAGTTTAGTGAGTAAATTCTTTTAAAAGTGGAGTGGCCAAAACTCTCTATTATTCAAAAAATTTTGTGATTATCAGGATTATTTGCTCATATATATATATATATATATATATATATATATCAGATAGAACAAAACGAAAATGGTTGAGTACTTTTGTAGTATTTGGCAGCATTTTCCTTCTTATAATTTTTTTTTTTCGGTCAATTGTCATCCTACTCCTACTCTATCTACGGGAGGCTCAATTGAGCCTATGGAAACCGATGGGGATAGAACCACCATCGGACCAGACGGACCCGTCTGAATTTGAAGCAGAACCACAAGAGTGGCATTTTGGTGGGAGGTAAGGTTTGAACCTTGTCTCCCACCCCACCAAAGCCTCAAGGGCGTGGTGGTGGCCACCAGCCCAGCCCAAAAAAGCTGGTGGTTTTTTCCTTCTTATAATTGGTAATTAAATTATTTAACGTTTTTCTTGTCTCAAGTCCCTACTACGAGATATTGTCAAGGACCCCACAACGCTGTAAGATAAGGAAGAGAGGATTCACATACAATCATACATTTCCATCAACATTACTACATACATACATATATATAATATAAATAATATGGCCCTCTCATAGCCCACAACCACATTTCTAGAGAGAGAGAGAAAGACGGCCCCTCTCCTCTCCCACTGGTCTATGAGTCTACAGTTACGGAGACTAGAGAGTTGCTGCTGCCCAAGTCTCTCCATCTCTGTTCTAGTGTGTGACTGTGTGTTTTTTTATGGAAAAAAGTTGTCATTCCTCCTCTAGTGGCGCGGCTGGTGGTGGTGACTCTTCGATTACCACCGCCAGTAGTGCTGCTACTACTACAACTTCCAGTAGTATCACCACCACCATTAGTAGCAGCAGCAACAACAACAACAGCAACAATACAAATAACAGAGATGTTTATCTGAAACATCTCAACAAAATCTCACATAAAATCTCCAAACCCATTCGTCGGCCTCCCGTGTTTGATCAGAATAATCAGGAAATTTCAGCACCGCCACCACCACCACCACAAGTGCTGCCGCCGCCTGCTGCTCAATCACAACAATCCCAGCAACAGCAGCAGCAGCAGCAGCATCAGCCGCCCGTGTATAATATTAACAAGAATGACTTCCGTGACGTCGTTCAGCGTCTCACGGGCTCTCCAGCTCACGAGCGGTTTTCGACTCCTCCTCCTATACAGCCACCGAAGCCCCCCAGCTCACGGCTGCAGCGGATCCGCCCTCCTCCCCTCGCCCAGATTAGCAACCGCCCTCCTCCCTTGCCTCAGATTAATAACCCGATGACCTGTGGTAATCCCACCGGAGGAGGAGGGTCAGCGTCAGCGGCGGGGTTCCTCGTCGGTCAACGGCAGCCTTTGTCTCCTCTTCCACCGTTCCCGGCTGTGCATGCGGCGGCGGAGTCTCCGATCTCCGCTTACATGCGGTTTCTCCAGAGCTCGGTCTCCTCGGCTGCTTCTCCCAAGTGGAACAACCTTCCGCCGCCGCAGATGCCGCCGCCGCCACCGGCGCTGCATCAGCAGCAGCAGAACATTCCTCCGCCGCCGCAGGGTTTTCCTCAGTTCCCGGTGCTTCCACCGACTTCGCCGCTGGCTTTTGGATGTATCCCGTCGCCGAGGTCGCCCTACGCTTTACTGTCCCCGAGCTTGCTATTTTCGCCGACGGGTCTAGGTTTTCCGCAGCTGCCGTTGTCTCCTTCGCTGCCGGTGCCGAGCCCGAGATGGAAGGGTATTTGAGGAAAATTGACAAAAAGGGGAGTCAAAAGGTATCATTTTGGAGAATTTTGTTCTTTTTGGGAGTTACAACTATTTTGTTATAAAGGTTATAGGGTCAAAAATGTAATATTGGCATGTACATGGTGGTGGGGGATGGGGGGGGGCGGCGTATGGTCTGTATCAAAAGCAGGAGTGCAAAGATGCGGTAGTAGCTGGCAGTGGTGACTGGTTCATTTAGATTTTGTTTTGTACATGAATGGTGAAGGTAGTCAAAGATTACTTCAAAAAATTTGTCTTTCATTTGTATTTTATAGGGATTGTTCTTTACATCTTTGAAGATCATTTGTTCATATGTTAACATCTGTGAAATTTGCAGGCTTTTTTGTTTGTTTTTCATACGTTGAATGTAGTTTTAATTTTTGATCAGCTCTATAGAGAGTATAATATATGTGTTCTCTTGAGGGGATTAATGAGAGTATTGCATTTCCCTGGTAACATATGGAAGTCTTTGCACCAGTTGAGCTGGAATTTCTTCAGTTTGATGCTTGGTTGATGATATCAGATGATTTTACATTGATCAGAGGCATAAATATTAGAAAAAGATGATACAAATTTTGGAGGAAAGGGTGGATCTTTCTTATGTGGGATGATATGATATTAGTACTTATATGTAAGTTCAAAATCATTTATGGGGCACAATTGCCTGCCCTTTCGCATCAAAATTTTGCATCATTTAGTAATAGCAATTGCAAAATGGTATGACCTTTTAGGCTTTTAGCCTTTGTATAATTGTGAGGAGCTCTATTCCTTAATGTTACCGGGTAAACTTACTGTTGCAGATGATGGTTTCACAATTTGGAACAATCAGCTTGTGTCATTTCGGTTATAAGTTCTTTTTTCTTTCTTTTTTTCTTTTTGGATAACAATATTGACGCTTCTTTAGTTAGCTGCATGTATTGTTAGTGGATGAGAGGTTATTGTTAGAGAGACTGTGATGACTTCCTGAAATATCCTCTTTCACACACTTCCCTGCCTACTTGGCCAAAACGGGAATACCCCCTTTGGAGGTTAATTTTTTTGCTTTTGCTTCATCTGTGGATGGCAGACCAAGATAAGATGATTTTTGTTTGATCAGGCTACCAGGTATGTGCTTCTTGACAACAAATTATAATCCCAGTACAGGAAGAGAAATGTTCCTCAGCCTTTTGTTACTCTTCATGCTTTGGAGAGGGCAAAAACAAGCAGTTGAAGTGGCTGCAAACTCTTCTCTGAATGCTTCCCACTCCATTGTTCGTACCACCTCAGTTATGTCTTAGCTGAGCTGACCGAGTGTTTTTATTATCTGCTGGTATATACAGCGATTAGATGAGCATGTAGTGCTGTCTCCGTGGATACAATCTTGTGAAGTTCTGATGATAGTTAGCTATCAGTGTAGATCCTGATGCATTTTAATGTTGACATTTGGGGCTTAGTTCAAAACCCATGTGCTACTCCCGGAGAAGTTACCATCTGCGGCATCTCTCCTAATGGAGAATGTGGTATAAACAAATGGATTTTGTATGAATCCAGCTTATTTTTTTGCTTTGAACACACACAGGCTGCGACCTTGGTTTGCACCTGGAAAAGGTAAGAGTTCTTTTGGAAAAGTTGCATCGTTACTTTGTATTTTATTACAAGTTGAACTTCCCGTGAACCCTTTATGATCAAGATTATGGCTTCCTGGCCTAAGGTGGTGGTTGTGTCATTGACCAGCCTTATGGAGAAGTTGCAGCTTCAGTTCTGATCCTGCTTTTCATTGTTATAAATTTGCAATTTCCACTTGCTTTCAGCCGTCATTCTGTCTTTGGTTTCACAATATATGAAGTTCTCTACCTGGCTAATTACTTAGAAAAGTGCATTTGCAAAATTTCGTTCTATTGAAGTAGAAATTCTGTCTTCTGTTGCCCAGCTTGACATTTGGTGGTGGTGATGATATTCATACTTCTGTAGGAGTATGAAATTTTCTTGCTTAGGTGATGGTTAGTATTGCTACCAGTCAAAGGAGTCGTCCTCAAGAGCGTCTTGTAAGAATCAGACATAACTTTCTTTTTCCTCATCATAGTGGACACAACTGCAGGTTTCGGATGTGAGAATTTCTCCATTTTGAGTGCCTTTGCAACGAACATTGGCAGCATCCTATGGCTGGAATCTTGAGACATTTCAAGGAAGAAGGAATATGCTTCTTTCCCCAATGATTAAAACGAGAAGTTTCAGAACCTGAGACTCTTTTGGTCAGGCCTTGTCCTGGTCATTCTTTTTCTTGTTATTCCTGTGGTTCATGTGATTTGTTTATCCGTCAAAGTAGGTTAACATTAGTCTTTTTCAGCTTCATAATAAGTAGAGGGATTGGTTGGAGAAGAGTAAAATGGAAGAAAGGAAGAGTACTAATGCCATTTTAATGCGATTTTAATTCTTTATAACGTATCTTCGCCTGTTATCTTGTCTGCTACTGCATCTTGAACAGGGCCGGAGCCATGTACGTCTCAATTGCAACCCTTCAACAGAAAATTTTTTTCTCGAAAATATAGAATAACCTACAAAGAATTTATATTTTGTTGTATTGCCCCACTCTTATGCGCCCTGAATTTTAATAATATTTCGTTTAGACCCACAATCGCCCCAAAGGTGTTGAAATTTTTAAGAATTGCTCTCACTATTTCTACAATGAAACCTTAAAATAAAATGTATCAGACGATATTATTTGATTTTCTTTCTAAGAAGTATATTATTTGTTTAAAATTATACTCTTTTTAGGTGTCCACTACACGGATTACAAGCGAATCAAATATTCATTTTAATAATTTGATTGTATACACACCATCCACCAACTGTGCATGCTAGAATTACATCTTGCAGTCTTTCACATAATGTTAAATTAGTATGTAATTTTGCACCATTAGACTATTTTATGCTACTGCTAATAATAAATCAAAAGTTCCGCCACCACTGATCTTGAACTTGTCTTTTCTCCATTGTGGATTGGCCTTCGCATCTTTGAACGGTACAATTCCTAAAGCAGTTTTCGTTTCTCTGTTACCCCTTCCAAACTTCGTTATGTTGTATAAACAGGGTTGTCGTTAGTTTCTTCCCATTTTCTTCTTTACTTGGACTTGTCTCCTCACCGCCGAACAAGATAGAGGCATCGGGCGACGAAGGAGAGTCATTTCCCCTTCCTTTACGTTTTCCATTGTGCCATTGTGGAGAGGTAATCTTGAATTTTTTACTACGGAGCATCTTTTTCTAGATATTTAATGAGCGGAAATTTTGGAGAATTCTTCTTCTTTTTTTTGGCAACGATAATATTTATATAATATAATCTATTTTATTTTACGGCCAGGAAAGGGCTTTAATCTATCCTATTTTATAAGAAATGAGAGCTTAGGGAGGTTTTCAATTTATTCTATTCTACGAAAAGGAAGAGGTTAAAGAGACTGTATGACAGGTTAATAGGTTTATGAATCCACTAAAGGAACGTTCTAATATTTCATTTGAACTTTTTTCACATACAGGTTAATAGGTTTATGAATCCACTAAAGGAACGTTCTAATATTTCATTTGAACTTTTTTCACTGCAGGTGCAGTTCAAATCCAAAACTTACCATCCCAAGAAGAACTTAATCCCTTTTTTATAGTAGTGACTGAGCCAAAACTCAGTGGTTTTTGGAGAATTCATCACTTCCTCTCCTCTTCGATATGGGAACCTAAGAACATTTTCATTTCACCCTCTGCAAGAGAAACGAAAGATCCATTATTGCCAATGGTTGAGGTATGGAGAATTCTTCTTTTTACATCACTTTCGTTTCCTTCCATCGATTGAGAAAGCACTCAATCACTTTCATTGTAGTGTAATGAATATCTCCTCGTGCTCCCTCCCACTGTCGGACGAATCAAAGACTAATTGTGGACTTTCAAAGAACCAACTCATGACGCCAATTTTTCTAGCTAACAGTGGATACATATTCTAATCATTTCAGCATCAATCAAGACATATCCCTTGAATTTTGGGTTCCAAACAGGGGATGAAAACAGTTTTGGTTATTGGCCCCTTCCGATAATTCCAGGATTTTAGGCCCTTATTCAATCTTGGTCATTCACAACTTAATTAAGTACAAAGAGATGTAAAACATATAAAAAAGCCTTTTCCTTTCCACCTTTCCATGACATAGCTAAAAGCCAATAAGATCCGGAGAACGCTAAACTGAAGACGAAATGGATACATTAAAGGAGGTTCAATAACACAATTGCGAACACCTAAAATAAAGCCAGACTGGTAAAAGGGGTGGGGAAAAAGAAAGGCACGACGATCAGAATAGGTAACTTCTCCGAATAAAAACCACCAGACGAGAAGTGAAACCCCAATCAGAGAGCAAACATCCTCACTGTTGTTCATTATCAGCCTTGGGAGCTTCCTTGATCTCATCAGCTCCATCATCCTGCACAAAAAAAGGCGATTGTTAAAAATTCAAAATCCATACAAGTGCCATGGCAAGACGAGCAAGGAGGTCCATATTACAAAAAGAGGAGAATTTGTGTGCAAAGAAAATGCAGTACCTGCATGTCAGATGTCCACAGGGTAAGGTTATCCCGCAAGAGTTGCATAATCAGGGTGCTGTCCTTGTATGACTCCTCCCCTAGGGTATCCAACTCAGCAATTGCTTCATCAAAGGCCTATAGAGGGAAATATAAAAAGAAAATATGAGCCAGATTCTTGCCTAGCCAAAGCCAATAAGGGAAATTTTTGCATCCAGATTTTTCACCTGCTTTGCTAGATTACAAGCACGATCTGGAGAGTTCAAAATCTCATAGTAGAAGACGGAGAAGTTTAGAGCCAGTCCAAGCCGGATAGGATGAGTCGGGGCAAGTTCTGTGTTTGCAATATCCTGCGGTTCAGAACAACAATTAGAATGAAAGTGTGACAAAAAGATACAAATTCAGTAACCTACGCCATTTTTGAGCCAAATCTCTCGAAGAAGTTGTATGCTCAATCATCATTATTCAAGGACTACAATTCTCTCAGTCATACGTAAAATACTGATGAACTATCAAAATGGTTAGAACAATCAAATCTATGCCCCATTACATTTTTTCAGTGAAACAACAGTTGAATCAATGCTTCAATGCATGCTTAGAGCTGGCATTTCCTTATCAATTTGATGTATAGGTCTGTATGTCGAGTTTGTTCTGCTGTTTTACTAGTCTATCTTTTGTAATGTTTTAAGGGGTATGCCCCTTCCCTCGTGTAAGCTTCTGTTGAGCATCAATGAAAGAACACAGCCAACCCAACCCAAAAAAACAAAAGGGAATCAAACATGTAACCATTCATGTTATGACAAGAAGGGATATTAGATGTTAGCTTCCAATTCTTGCCAATTTCCTATAAACCTTTCTATAGCATATGGTTATACAAGACGCAGGAAACTATTTTATAGCAGTGGAATAAGCTCTGCTTCTTAACAAAACCAATGCAGACTCTCTTTTCTTTTCTTTGATGGAGGGAAAAATAGCGTAATGCGTACAACCTTATACATGGATAAAAAGATGGAACTTCGTTCCATCACATCAAACCGCATTGAATGATGCCAGAAAGCTCAAACAACCATTTTCTCCTATTTTAACATTGGAAATGCAAAAAAAAAAAAACTCTTTTTTAACCCAAAACCACATTTCCTTACCCAGATTTGGAAATCTATGAACCAAAAAAAAAAAGGTAACAATTGCATCCAAATTGAACCAATCCAGTTCGCATCTAAATCACGAAGAATGCAACAAATAAAAACTTTTGAACAACAACCAAAAACCCATAAATGTCAAAGCAAACCTGAGCAGCCTTATAGGCAGTAAGGGTGCTTTCAGCAGCCTCTTTCCTTTCAGCACCAGTCTTGAACTCAGCAAGATACCTATGATAATCCCCCTTCATCTTCAAATAGAAAACCTTAGAATCTCCAGCAGATGCTGATGGGATCAGCTTAGAATCAAGAAGCTTCAAGATCCCATCACAGATTGATGACAACTCGGCCTCAATCTTGGATCTGTACTCCTTGATAGTGTTCACATGATCCTCATTCCCTCTTGATTCTTCCTTCTGCTCAATTGATGAAATTATCCTCCATGAAGCCCTACGGGCCCCAATAACGTTCTTGTAGGCAACTGAGAGCAGGTTCCTTTCCTCCACCGTTAACTCCTCGTTTTCTCCCAAGGATTTGGAGACCTTTTCCATGAATTCCACCATTTCCTCGTACCGCTCGGCTTGCTCGGCCAGTTTTGCCATGTATACGTTCTCCTCACGCGCCGTTATTGCTGCCATGGTACCTTTTTTTTTTTTCCTCCTTCTCCCTTTTGTGGGTTTGTGGAAACGGGGAGATTTGAGATTTGGGTTCCTTTCTTCAGTTTCAGATGGGATGGAGGATTGAGGACTGGGGGTCTGGTTTCTGTGTATTTGAATGGAGGAACGAGAGGAGGGGAGTGGTTCAAGGAAGTTCTTTTATTCCTCTTTTTCGGTTTTTCCTCACTGTTTTTCCTCATGTACAACTCAGGATGCAGCAGGTACAGGTATGGAAGCGTGGGTAAGGTTTGGTTTGGTCAAAGGGCACAAGAGTGTAGGTATGGTAGGTGGGCCTTTTGATGTCCCATTGTTTTACAGATCTGAAAAAAAATTACACTACTCTTTAAGGAAATTATTTTGTTTTATTTTTTCAAATTTTGATGGTAGGATTGAACTGAATTTAACCTTGGAAAATGTTGTCCCAGAGTCCAACTTGACATGCAATTGGTTCAATTATTGGTAGGGATTAAGATACTACGCAATTGTCATACCAAGATTTGCAGGGTGCAATTCATTGCTCGTATTTGCCTAATTTGACCTTAGACGAATCAAATTAATAAGTGATAGAAAGAGTTTACTTTTGTTTTTTGATAATATAATAGAGTTTGTTTGGATAAAGCTTTATTTGTTAAAAAAAATTTAGTTACATCACGCAAATACTTTTTTTCAGTCACTTCAAACCCTTTGTTTGAATCTATTAGTTTGTCAAAAATTAGTTTTTTAAATACTATAAAAAATTTTAAAAAGTATTCTAAAAAGTAGTCTAAATTTTTTTAATATTTAAAAAATATTCGAAAATATATTTTATAAATTTTACTATTCTTAAATATTTCAAAATATATTTTAAAAATATCTCAAAATATACTCTAAAAACTCTGCTATCGTAAAATTTTTTAAAAATACCCCTAAAAATAGCTAATCCAAATGGTTATTTTTTCAACTATATATATTTTTTATTTAGGTCTATTTGTGCTGTTTTGAACTTTTATGCCTGTTTGTGTTAAAAGCATTAAGCCTCAGATTCGTCGGATTGAGAAAATATTCTACGGTGAAAATTGCAATGAAAACGATAACTGTAAAAGCGTGAGGCCTCGGTCAGATTTGTGGGGCAGGATTGGACTGAGAGGCGGTCAAAGGTGATCAGTCGTGGAGGTGGCCCGCTCGATTCATCATTCTAGTTTTTCTTTGACAGTTGGGAATCTAGCTGGACAGTGGACTAAAAGGCTGTCTTGTGGGTCCGTGGGTGGCCACAACACTAGCAGGCCAAATTTGGTATTAACTGGATGAGGAACATGTACCGTAGATTTTATGTGCAAAGGCCCACAATCTGGAAGTGTCCTGCTCCGTCAATGTTAATGGATCTATCTGTATATCCATTTTGCCCAATGATAACTGGGCCACTTTGAGAACAAGGTTCTACAGGGCCGAACATGTGTTCTTAATTCCCATGCCCAAGCAACTCAGCCTCGACTTCATTTTTTTTAGGGGTATACAATTAAGGGTTAATCACATTTTATCCCCTTAAAGAAGATTCTATTTCTCAGTTTACCCCCTAACATTTAATTTTGCTCACTTAATCCCCGTTAGGACAAAATTGCCCTTGCATTAGTTTAACTTTTCATTTACCTTGTTTTCCTTTCTTTTATTTCTTTTTCTCTTTCTTCTTTTAATTCTTCCTCTTTCCCACAAAAATTTTCACCTTAATGATTGAAATTAAAAAAGAGGAATTGTAGAGATCTATCTTCTCCTTAAATGATTAAAAAAATATTTAAATCACTTTCCTAAAATACAATTTTTTAGCCTTTCAATTCTTTTAATTTTGGGTTTTCCTCTTTCCTTTCTAATTTCTCATTTTATTCTCAAGAAAATATCATAAGATGAAATTGTTTTCCTTTCTTTTATTTCTTTTTCTCTTTCTTCTCTCTTTCATCCTTCCCAATAGAAATTCCATTTCAACGAAAATTTTTGTTTTGAGTTTGTAATTGCATATTTTTGGGTGAAGGTTTAAAAGGTATAAAAATTTAATTTTGATTTTTTTTATGATGCCACGTGTCACAAATTTCAATTGATGAATCAGGTCACAATTTCATCTTAAGATATTTTATTGGGAATAAAATGAGAAACTAGAAAGGAAAGAGGAAAACTTAAAATTAAAAGAATTGATAGGCTAAAAAAATTGTATTTTAGGAAAGTGATTTGAATATTTTTTTTAATCATTTAAGGAGAAGATAGATCTCTGCAATTCCTCTTTTTTAATTTCAATCATTAAGGTGATGATTTTTGTGGGAAAGAAGAAGAATTAAATAAAGAAGAAAGAGAAAAAGAAATAAAAGAAAGGAAAACAAGGTAAATGAAAAGTCAAAACAATGCAAGGATAATTGTGTCCTAAAGGGGGTTAAGTGAGCAAAATTAAAGGTTATGAGGTAAACTGAGAAATGGGGTATTCTTTAAGAGGATAAAATGTGATTAACCCTACAATTAATTCCTCCCAATCTTCCAAATTATTTCCTTTTTATTTTTTTAAATCATTTAATTATCAAGATATGGAGTTTTACGTTAATGATGTTCTCTTCTAGCAATTGGAGTTAAATGACGTAAGGCACTGCCAACTGGTCCCCTTTGAAATAAGCCAAGAGCCCAATCCCCACCCAAAATCACTACAATCACTTTCCTTAGTGGCCAAAAAAGTTTACTTGTCCCCCATACTTCTATTAGAAAATGCTCTTTTTTAATAAAAAAATATCCGAGACACATTTTTTTTTTCTTTTGCAAATACAACGCATTCCTTTTTTTTTTTTGGCAAAAATCAACTAATAAGATGGCATAGATAAAGAAACACATTTTTTTTTCAACTATATTTTTTGAACTTTTTTAATTTTTGAACATATTCCAAGAAATCAGGACAAGTAAAATTTAAACAATCAAGAATTTTCCTTGTCACTACTGTACAAGTGTACAAGAAGAATTTTGTTCCCAAATGTGCTTGGGCATTTTAAGGTAAGAATGCAACTCGAGGTATATATTCATGAAGAGTCATGTCGTCATCCATGAAGCCTAATAAATTGGAACTTGAAAATACATGTGTCCATGTCCAAAAAAGGAAAAGCAAAGAAAATCAAGGACCACAGAAAAATGACGGCCCAATGGAGAGAGTCTGCAAATTGGTACGTCAACGATTGAGGAGAATTCTACCGTTGAAAAAGAAAGATTGAGGAGAATTCACATGGAAACCTTCATGTGAACAATCATTCCCTGTCCTTGAGTAGTAAGCTGTCGAATACTTTAGCATATCTATCCTTCCTTGGCCCCTCTGCCCATTTATCCTTAGTTCCTTACCGCTCTTTAGTCTTTCCCTGACACTTTTTTTTGACCACTCGATTTTGACAGTCTTCCTCTAATGCTACTCATCATCTTCCACGTACCCTCGTTTTTATTTTTTAACCGCAGTCAAGAACCTCGCCAACACGCTTGCTTGTCGTTTCTTGTGTACTTCAGTTTAACTGGAGTACAAAGCAACTCAAGAGTCTTGTCCGACTAATGAAAAGATATTCTCAAAAATTTCATCACCTCAGATCCTGAAACCTGCCCGCTTTTTGTTAGTGAAGTCAGGAGGTTGATAGGGGTACTATTGCATTGAGAGAAAAGTAAAAGTGGGTTCTTGGGATTTTGTGGAATTATGGAAAAGTATGAGATTGTTAAGGACATTGGATCGGGTAACTTTGGTGTAGCTAAGCTTGTGAGAGAGAGGTGGACTAAAGAGCTCTTTGCTGTTAAGTTTATTGAAAGAGGCCAAAAGGTTTGTGCTTTGGGTGAATTCTGCTGGTTCTTTTTTCACTTGGGATTTTTCTTGGTTCGGTTCGACAAAAAAAAAATGAGTCTTCGATCTTCTGACTTTGGTGGCAGATTGATGAACATGTGCAGCGGGAGATTATGAACCATAGATCATTGAAGCATCCCAATATAATCCGCTTCAAAGAGGTTCTTTTTTTTTCTCTTTTGTTTGTAGGCAATATTTTCTAGTTCTGTTAGTTTGCAAAGGAATCTTTAATCAAGTTTCTTTAAATGGTCACTTCATTGGTTGTACCGTGTTTGTAGTTAGAGGTAGTGGTAGAATGAATTCAGAGTGATTTTTTGATGACTTGAAGGATGGCAATCTAATTTAAGTGGAGCTTTTGTTCTTTACTCCTGGACTCTTTAGCGTGCAATGAATGGCAAAATCTGGCCATTCAGTTGTGAACTTGAGCTCATTACCTAGTGAATAAGCAGTTCTCCGGTAAATCATCTGAGATTTGAATAGTCAGCCTTTATGGTAGTCCCTCATGATATACAATTTGCAACAGATCAACAATATTTGATAAGTTAAAAGATCATAAATGAAAGCTGTTAAATGAGTCCTGAAGTTCATTAAGCAGTCTGATCAATGGGATTGCCAACTATTATATTGAAATTATATCAGTTTTTTGTTTGTTTCGATGTCACTAGTAGCTTTCATTTCCAATTCATTTCCCTGATTTATGTCCTTCGATTTGATTGTGAAATTGGTCCTACAATCTTGCAGGTCTTGCTGACTCCTACCCATCTAGCTATAGTAATGGAGTATGCGGCAGGAGGAGAACTCTTTGCGAGGATATGCAATGCTGGAAGGTTCAATGAAGATGAGGTAACCACACATATTGGTGGAAATATCTATATATATTTTGTGCACAACTATCAGAGGAGTTTGTGTTGGCCTTCTAATTAGTAATTACTAATGGTTGTGCATTTGGGTGTTTTCGTTTGTATGAAGTAGTGAAAATGGGAGACAAAATGTCGCCTTGAACTTTAGCATGGCAACCGGAGTAGGCATATCTGCTGAAGTTGGTTCAGTATTAGCATCCCTTCATGAGGGGTCCTCACAAATTTTAGATGTGCTATGTTGGATTATGTAGTGGTGTTAGTGCACAGACTGGTTGGAGTGGTAATGTGGTACTGGAATCTTTAATTTGTTCTTATGCATAGATCTTGTGAATAAAACTAGCTCACTGAATTTCTCACTGTTTCCATCCTTGCGAATTTGCTGGAAAATTAAAAGATGTTACCGATTATCATAAATCTTGTGTTTTGTGGCCCTTTCCTGTAGGTTGTCCTTAAACAAC